CTGCACCTTGTTGTCTCTGTTGCTCTTCCAACTTGTGCTGATATTCACTGGAACACTGTAGCAAGCCTGAGACACAGATGTTGACCAGGGAACACGGTAGTGTGTTGAAATAGCAGGTAGCTGGAAGCTCCGAGAAATAGTGGCTGATGGTCCTAATGTTGGTCATTTCTGCCACCTCCACTGGGATGATGACCCAGACAGATATTCCCCTTATCCACCTTCCGCAGGGACTGTTGCCTCTGGCACGCCCTGGTTCACTTCTCCTCCACTCCTCCCATTTCCCGCCTCACCCCCGCAGTAGCCCCATGGCACTTTCCCATATCATCGCAAAAGTGTAATACCTGCCTGTTTACTTCCTCCTTCCTCAGTATCTAAGGTCCTAGACACACCTTCTAGGTGAAACAGCGCTTTACCTGCGCATCGCTGAATCGAATGTACTGCTGTTGCTGCTCACAGTGTGGTCATCTCTACACTAGGGAGACAAAGACCAGACTGGGCGACCACTTTGCAGAACACCTATGTTCTGGCTGCAGAAATGACCTGAAACGTTAACTCTGCTTTTTATGTACAGATGCTGCCAGACCTGCTGAGTTTTTTTCAGCAATTTCTGATTATATTTCTGGTGTCTAGTATCTGCAGTTCTTTTGTTTTTAATATAAAAGAATGTTGCAGGAAATGTTCATGTACAATATCGTTGCCCACATGGTAGTCTTTTTTTTAAACAAGAGATCAGTAGCAATTTTCTTGGCAAATGAGTAACATGTAGAATCACAGAATCTCTACAGTGTCGAAGCAGCCCATCAAATAAATACTGACCCTCCGAAGAGAGCATCCCACTCAGACCCACCCAATCCTTGTAACCCGGCATTTCCCATGACTTATCCACCTAGCCTGTACGTCCTTGAACACCATGGATAATTTAGCATGGCCAAACCATCCAACCTGCACATCTTTGGACAGGGAGGAAACCAAAGCACCCTGAGGGAACCCATGAAGACATGGGTAGAATGTCTGTGTGGAACTTGCACAGTCACCCGAGGCTGGAATCCAACGTGGGTCCCTGGCACTGTGAGGCAACAATGCTAACCACTGAGCCACCATGCGACCCTGACATGGGGTCAGGTCTCGCTTAATGTGCAAATTCACTCTGGTGGCATGGATGGGAAGTATCCTCCATTGTAAATGATGGAGGCCTGTGTTAGTCAAGCATCGTGAAAAAAGCTGGGAACTCAGAACTCCTTGCTGTTGGATGGATTTATGATGTCCACCGTCTCTCTGTTTGGCTTAAAGTCACTGCCACAGCCACCCTTTAAGATATGTTAAAGATGTTGCCTGAGTGTATTTTGCTGATGAACACTGCCTGCCCACCTATTTCATTGTCAACATCCTGAGGTACTGAAGCGGTCCGTGCCTAAATATAGCAAGATCTAGACAATATTCAGACTTGGGCTGACAAGTGGCAAGTAACAGTCCCTCTGTGTAAGTGCCAGGCAATGACCACTTCCAACAAGAGAGATTCTAACCATCTCTCCTTTACATTCAATGACTTTACTGTCACTGAGTCTCCGACCATCAACTCCAACTATCAGGGAAAGGTTACCACTGAGCAGAAGCAGGACTGAATTGGCCACGTAAAGAGCAGGTCAGATGTTAGGTACCCACCCAATGCACTGCAGAAATTCTCCAAGGCTCCTTAGACACCGCCTTCCAAACTCATGATCATTGCCATCTAGAAGACAAAAGCAGCTGGAACATGGGAGCATCACCATTTGCACGTTTCCCTTCATCCTGACTTGGAAGTATATCACCATTCCTTCAGTGTTACTGGGTCAAAATCCTGCAGCTCCCTCTTTAACAGCATCATGGATCTGCCTCCAGCATAGACTGCAGTGGTTCAAGAAGGCAGTGCACCATCATCATCACCACCACCACCTTCTCAAGGGCACCTAGTGATGGGCACTAAAAGCTGGCCCAACCAGTGATGTCCCACATTCCCTGAATGAACAGAAATAAAAAGAAATTCATAAGTGAACCTCCTTCCTGAGCAGTATGGTATTTTTGCATTGACACCTTTCAACTTTAAGCTAATCTGAGTGCATGAGTATTCACGCAGGAACTTAAATTCAGAAAACAGCAAGCAATTTCTTTCAATGTGACTGTGGTTTGATTTAAATCCAGATACCTGGGGTGAAAGCTCAGTGTCAGATCCGCTCTGCTATCTAGCTCCTCTTTCTTTCCCTATCCCATTCAATTGGTTGCTTATTTACAGTTTATACAATTCGCGGTGTAAATGTTCTGATGGGAGAATAACTATTCTTAGTAAAATTGTGTTGTTTGGATTTGAGTGTATGCTCTTCATCCAGATTACATTTAAATTTTGTCACTCATTCAGGAACTGTGGAAATATAATTCTTTTTGGCACTGCTTATATTCTGAATGTTAGATACAGTTTTCTTTTATCTTGTATCTGCATCATCCCTCATCCCTAAGCACAAATTTCCAACAAGAGTAAAAGCAAGTACTGGAGGTGCTGGAGATCTGAAATGAAAAAAAGACAATGTGCTAGAGGAACTCGGCAGGTCTGGCAACATCTGTGGAGGGCAAAGCAGAGTTAATCTTTGGAACCCAATATGTGTTCAAAGTCCACAGGTATTGCCAGACTTGCTGAGTTTCTTCAGTGCTTTCTGTTTTTAGTCAATAAGAGACTGGCTCTTTACAAAAATGTGCCACCATTCCTTCTAGCCCATTGGAACTTTTGTACTAGCTCTTGGCAAGTTCGGGCTAAGTTGGACTTTTTTGGTTATTCTGACCTTCTGTGTAGAGTCAGGTACTTGTGTTTTCCATTTGAGACTCCTACATGAGTAATAGTCCCTTTTGATAAGTATTCAATGGTATTTGGTAAACAGCCTTTAACAATGGGTCAACATTTTTCAGAGAAGTGAGGTGAAAATTAATGGACATTTTTAAAAAAAAAAAAATGTTGTCCTTCTTTGTTTAAAAAAATACTGTTCTTGGATGACACACTGGACAAGAACCAAAAATATATGGTGATCTTGAACATGGCTTTGTCTGTGGGAAGTCGTGTCTCACTAACTTGCTTGAGTTTTTTGAGGAAGTAATGAAGAGGATAGATGAAGGCAGAGCGGTGGATGTGATCTATATGGACTTCAGTAAGACGTTCGACAAGGTTCCACATGATAGACTGGTTAGCAAGGTTAGATCACATGAATACAGGGAGAATTAGCCAATTTGATACAAAATTGGCCCAAAGGCAGGAGACAGAGGGTAGTGGTGGAGGTTTGCTTTTCAGACTGGAGGCCTGTGACTAGCAGTGTGCCATAAGGATCGGTGCTGGGTCCACTGCTTTTTGTCATTTATATAAATGATTTGGATGTGAATATAGGAGGCACAGTTAGTAAGTTGGCAGATGACACCAAACTTTGAGGCATTTAAGGTTCTTGCGAAGATTTGTAGCAAAAATTGTGGACGAGGTTGTTGGCTTGCTCGCCGAGCTGGCTGGTTACCTCACAGATGTTTCATCACCACGCTAGGAAACATCACCAATGTGGTCTCCGAAGAAGCGATGTTGTTCCACTCTGCTTGGTATTCATATGATCTGGTCTGTTTAAGTTGGGTTGCATCATGTAGATCAGATCATATAAATGCCAAGTGGAGTAGAACAACATCGCTTCATCGGAGGCCCCATTGATGCTGTTACCTAGCATGGTGGCGAAACATCTGTACAAAAACCAGCCAGCTCAGTGAGCAAGTCAACAACCCAATGAAGAATGTTAGCTCTGACGAGGAGTGGCAGATGGAGTTTAATCTAGATAAATGTGAGGTGCTACATTTTGGTAGGGCAAATCAGGGCAGGACTTATAACTTAATGGTAAGATCCTGGGGAGTGTTGCTAAACAAAGAGACCTTGGGGTGCAGGTTCATAGTTCCGTGAAAGTGGAGTCGCAGGTAGGCAGGTTAGTGAGAAGGCATTTGGAACATAGAACGTAGAACATAGAACAGTACAGACCCTTCGGCCCATGATGTTGTGCCGACCTATAATCCTACTCTAAGATCAAACTACGCTGCATACCCTACATTTTACTATCATAGTAAATGTTTGCCTTCATTGGTCAGTGCATTGAGTATAGGAGTTGGGAGGTCATATTGCGGCTGTACAGGACATTGGCTAGGCCACTTTTGGAATACTGCATGCAGCTCTGGTCTCCCTGCTATAGCAAAGATGTTGTTAAATTTGAAAGGGTTCAGAAAAGATTTAGAAGGATGTTGCCAGGGTTGGAGGATTTGTGCTACAAGAAGAGACTGAATAGGCTGGGGCTACTTTCCCTGGAGCGTCAGAGGCTGAGGGGTGACCATTTATAGATGTTTATAAAATTGTTAGGGGCATGGATAGGGTAAATAGTCAAGGTCTTTTTCCCTGGGGAAGGAGAGTCCAAAACTAGAGGGCATAGGTTTAAGGTGAGAAAGGAA